CTCCCTCTCTCTCTCTCTCTCTCTCTCTCTCTGTCTCTCTCTCTCTCTTTTTCGACGCGCTCGGAATTACGCGCTGATGTTATAATCCTCTCGTGTTACGCCATCGCACATGCTGTAAGCAATACATTGTTTTTTTATCCGGTTCCATCTCCCTCCAGCATCCATATGTACACTTCGCTGCCGTATGATCGTCCGGTGATCGACGAGCGCTGATTGTCCGAGAGCGCACCGTTGTGCCGAAGTGAGAGATCTTTCGCCGGGCCAGGGGTCGATGGCCCGTCGCTGACGCGCTTTAAATATTGAATTGTTCGTTTCTCCGCTTAAAATAGATGTTCCTGCATATCAAAGGGATAGACAAAAGGGCGAATTGTTCTTATACTTTTTTTTCCATCGCTCTGACTTTTTTAGCTCTGGTCAGCTTATCTATCCTGCCCCGAACTGTGAAACAGCCGACTTTTACGTGTCTCTCTCAAAAATTTAACATGTAAAAATATTAATCAAAAGAATTTCACATGCGGACGAGTAGATGTGAAAGTCACACTTGCACGGCACGTTACAGATTTGCAGAATATTTCGCAAATTCTAGCGTCGTGTATAATTTACCTGAAAATTCAGTCAGCGTAAGCGAATTGTCAGCGCGAATTTTTTAGCTTTTTCCGGACAATGGTAATTCTAACGATAACAGAAATTTATAAATCCCAATGGAATTCTTGAAGATATCTCGGGCATACATGTCCGTCCAGTGGTATCAATGCGCCCGGCGCATCCTTCGAATTCCGAAAGTAATATGCGGCCGATTCTTTTTGTGCTTCAGATATCTGGTAGCCGGCGGCTTAGTGGATCGCGTGTCACGCCACAGTCGCGCCTTGATCGAGACGGATTTTTTTCTGGATCAAGAGCACGAGTCGCCGTTGTTGGTATCGTCTTTCGATCTTCTCGCATGTATCTGCGGTCATCTGAAGAGGTCCGTCGATCAAGATAATGTCAGCGTGCACGGTGAGGGCAACAACGTCGAGCAAACAAGCAACGAGTCGCATTTGCTGTCGACTTTATCGGCGACCGAAGCCTCCGGCGCGATCGGCGCTCTTTACGCGGCGGTCGCGTTCACGCCGCAGAATCAGAAGGGAGCCTCTCCGACACCTAATCACACATTCACGACTGCCGTGCGGATTCTGGCCGGCAGTGGCCTCAAACTTTTCAAGTCGATCGCGGCACTCGATCTTCGGACACTACAGGTACGTTTTGTTTCGTCGCCTTTGCACGATTTTATTTTGTAAAATAATAAAACTTGCAATAAGTAAAAACTAATATTAAGAAATTAATACACCCGCATAGCTTTCGATATATTTTTTATACATTTTGTATTTTTTGCAAATATGCGCTCTTGTTGAAATAATTATTCACTTTTAACCTTATAAATAAATTAAAGAGAAGCATAATAATAATTGCGGATCAGCGATTTTTGAGAGATAAATACATTTACTGAAAATAATAATGTTGCAATTTTAAAAAATGTAAAGAGTTTTCGAAAATTTTCATTACTTTAATAATTTTCTGTTATTTAATATTCGATATTTAATCGCCAAAATTATTATCCACTATTCTCTCTCCTGATTTATTATTCCTCTGATTTTCATTTTTATTGCAGTGTTCGTCAACAACACAGTCGTATTATTCCGCTTTAATTTTGACACGTACTTTTCCCAGACATTTCACGCTAAATGCGATCGTTTAATTCCAAAATTTTCTCGTCTAATTATAAAGACTGTCTAATGCGAATATAGAACGGATGTCAGCTGCATTTAGCTTTAATCACGTTGATCGAAAATATGATTCTCTTTACAACTTATATTCCGACGCGTAGCTTGCTGATATACGCACAGTACCGATTTCGCTCTGTTTCACGATATCTTTCGAAATAATCTCAATCGCGTTGATATTCGATCTCGAGCTATTCAAGCAGCGAGCAGAATGCGCATCCATTAGATCGCCATAAGCTCCATTACTCTTTAATTCGCGACGGTCTACGATTCGGCATTACCCTGTAGGGCTCCCCCGGCGTCACCTCTCCAAATGACAACGATGCCGCTTGTTGCCGCCAACAATGCGGCTTATCGTTGGAGGGCGCGGTGCGTGATGGAGATATCATGTATCGCGGGGGTTTGCCTGTCAAGACGTAAAGGGCCTCCCGTGAAGTTCTCTCGCAGCGAGCCGACCACGAATTGAATCGAAGCGGCGTCTCGCGCCCTCCCGCGCCCCGCAAAAACCATAAGGGCCGTCCGGGTGCCCCGCGGGAGGGCGGTGCACCCCCGTCCCGCGGGAGCGCCCGTCGATTATCCCGCACGGTCCAGATGAGCCCCGCAGCGTGCGTTTGCCGAAAAACCGACGGTTATTAACCATTCTCTTTGGCTCGCTCGCAATGCGGTTTCGCTACGACAAAGTCGGTGTCCGTTCGCCGCCTATGAGGCCGCGTCTTAGATTTCAACAGGCTGAAAGACACGCCTTGAAGGGGAACGAGTAGTAATTTAAGGTCCAAAAAGAGAACGGAATTATATCGATATCCCATTAAGCGCTATTAAGCACGGAACCCTATCGGATTTACATATAAGCTAATAAAACTATAACATTACGAAAGCTCTTTACGAGAAGAAGAGTTTACTGATACGGCGCATGTTCATGTCAAGTGTAAAATATTTGTATGAAAAACATTATGTTACAGAGTTTATTGGGCGCCGAAGGCACGAGCTTGCAGTGGCGATTGATAGCGAGTCATTTGATAACTCGGCTATCCCGCGATTCTTTATCGGACAAAGTGGAAGTAGGATCTATGCCGAATACAAGCGGTATTCACATCCTCTCGGAATTGTTTGCGGTGCTCGGATACTTCGCCCTCAACAATCCAGATAATCAGGTAGGCACTGTTTTCACAGCTATTTGATATGAATAAAAATCTTAAAATCATAAAACTCACGCCTCTAGCAAAATTAATTAAGTAAATTGTGCAATTTTTTATGTAGAATTCAGATTTACTAGTTAACTTTTTTCGGAGTTAAAACCACTTATAAAATAAAATCTAATTGAGTTGGTGGTTTCTCTTGATTGTAACACTTCGAATCACCCGGTACGTTTGGTGTACGCGCGTGAAATAAATGCGCAGGATGGCGTGTAGCATGTTACCGACGAGAAGAAGGAAGAAGCTGTTAGACACAACACACTCAGCGGACCTCCCATCAATATACGACCGAACGCCGTTAAGATATATTTACGGTGTTCCGTTCCATACGTCTCACGACGCGTGCACGCGTGCACACCCTCACGCAGTGTCGGTCCATCAGTTCGCGAAGCCGCGTGGAAACTCGTAACAAATAATTGTGACGCGACATGGAAAATGAAAGCATCTTTGAAAATAAAATTAAACAGATTCAAAGAGATAAGAATAACTAAATAAAACGCAAATATTAAAATACCAGAGAAATTTTCGGGAAAACAATATAAACCGAGATTAAAAAATATATAATGGATATGTAAAGATTTTCCTGCCAAATTGTTGAATAACTAGTGCATTTTAACTTCGATTTAGAAAAATACTTTTCTCAAATAAAATTGCAGTGACATTTGGTTCTATATTCCAGAATTTCGGATTATAGAACAAAGCATCTAATATAGAATATTATTAGCTATAGAGTTAATTCTGAATTTTGCTAATTATTTCTGAAACTTTGCTCATTACAGGAATTAATTACAATTCTTTAAAAAAATGAAATACGATAAGTATTTGTTGAGTATTTGATTCCTAAATAATTAATAACACTTTTCGCGAGTTGACGAAAATGTTGCGGCTTGACGCTGCCGTTCGCACATCGCCCAAGACAGATCATACATCACGTCGATCTCGCGAACGCGTAAATCGGAATGTAATGCTGAGTGCACCGCCGATGTCGCGCATTCGTCTTTCAGCGCTTTTTTAAGGTGCCGCTCTCAAGAGCGAGAGCCGACCCTCCGAGAGTAGCTGCTTCGGAAAAATCGTCTTCCGCGCGAAGAGAGAAGAAGGGATAAAAGAGAGAAAGAAGGGAAGAAACGAGACGCTTTTAAGCTTCTACGAGCATCTGCGGTGTGACTAGGGTTATCGCGCCCAGCAATACGCACCACCTTCGTCCGCGATCATAAACACGTCTATCCCGGTTTTTTGTCAACAGCTGTAACCGAATTCGAGAAATGGATTTTTTTGCGGTGGCGCCTTTAACGCATGTGTATGCGTGTTACCGCTTTCCTCTTATTTATTTTAAACCGACGTTTTAACTCCTTGGAATCGCGCGCGTGTCGCCGTTAATCACGCTCTGCTTATTTTTGCCTATCAATATTGAAAACATCACTCGCTTCTCGAAAAGTGTCGTATGATTAAATAGTGTTAATAAATTTTATATGCTATATTCAAAATTGAAATATATAGAACGCAGCTTTCTATGACGCAGAATTAATTTTAATAATTAGTTTGACGTTGTTTCTCGTTCCTATTGTCCATTTTGCAAATTATTTGTTATTCGCTTTTTCTGTAAAGACCAAGAACTCATGTAAATACAAATTAGAGGATACATATGCTTTTTTTAAAAATGATTTAGATGCAAATCAATTATCATCGAATTGTTTCACTGTGTTGTATACGGAGTAAATAATGCGGAGCGAATAAATCGATATTCAACATGCATGAACGCAATACGGGCTGTGCAGTACCGAAGAGACGGGAATGCATAAAATGTGGGTATTTCCTGCAAGAGTTCACTGCAGGTGCACAGGAATACAACGTCCTGTTCAGAGAAGCACTTGTCGTAGACACAGATGTCCGGTGAGGTCTTCTTGTACTAAAGACTTTCTCGTTTCCGTGACACCTGGGTCGTTTAGGTTCTCACGCTTGTTAAGAAAATTACTCGATCGCCTTAATTATGCATTCTCTTGTACGTTAAGATCGAGAAACTAAAGATACTATGCGGGTAATTTGTAATTGTAAAAGAAGAATTTTTTTTCCGGTTTTTGTATTCTTGGCTGAAAATTTTTAAGCGCGGTAATTTCGGAAATCGCGATATTTAGGAAAGCAGCAACTTATAATATAAATCGAGTGTAATAATTAAAACTTGAGAAAATATTTAACTCAATAGAAAATCACGATGGAAACAATAGTCGACAATTTTCCTTTAAACAATTTCCAATCATTCTCTTCGCTAACTTTTATCTTTATGGATTTTACAGAATTATTGTAAAAAATAAAAAAGATTTGCACAAAAAGACTATAGTAAAAAAAATTTGGATTGAAAAATAATAACGGTTACTTCGGGAAAATCTGTTTCAGCTGGTCCTTCAATCCGCTGGCGCGGGTCCTAGCGTTCTGCAGCAGTTATGCACTCTACCATTCCCTTTTTACGGGGATCCCAGATTGATACCATGCACATTGCCGGCGCTTTTGGCCGCGACGCATCACAATCCCGAGGCAATGGCGATATTGTCTTGCGAAATGTCATATGAGGTAAGTGCAAAATTATGAATATATCACGCGTAACACGATCGCTTCAACGTAAACTTCATGAACGAAAATATCATTGACACGTATTTGGATTAATTTTGCAAAAATTTAATTAAAGATTATACGTACAATAATGTGGTAAAAATATAGAATTTTTAGCGAATATACATTTTTACGGTATCCATCGTCATATTTCTCTCTATATTTTCCTACATACAGTCCACTGCATTTCATATGTAAATCAACGAGACATATTAGCATCACAGCGCCGATTACCGGTGACCACTACGGAATTTAATGTATTAATATATATGCGTTGATTTAAATATTCATCATTTTAACGTGTAATAACATGGTTGATTCTATATCGCACGTCCAATCGATCTTTTATGTATATCACGAATCATTAAATCTTTGGATATTCTAAAAGTTTCCTGTTTTTCGATAAGCGTGCTATCTCATTGACCATGTTAATGAATAAAATACGATTCGTGAGTTAATAGAATTCACTTTTCGCACCTTTCGATTCACGTTTTATTCCTTTTCTACATTTTTATCTCCCGTACATTGCATTTTATGGGTAATAACGTTGAATGAATACACCTGTTAATTAACTTTGCAGTTGCTGGAGCAGTACAGAAACTCAGATGAAGGTAAATTAAATCCTTTGGTGCGTTTGCTGAAGGATAACGCTTAGTCCGCCACGTTTCACTAAAGATTTGATTAGTTTAATCACGCTCCAAGAGCTCATTAGGTATAATCTGCGCGTTTGTCGAAATCATTGGTAAAGCTATTTATCTGCGAGATATAAGAAAAACACGAAACCAAAAAATGAAAAAAATTTCACCAGATGCAGTTCGTAGTCTCGTATCTAATATATCAGATATTGCGATCCCTGACAATGGTAGGTTCTTACTCAAACAACGTACATAAAACGAACGTGCACATTTATTTGAGTCCAAGAATAAAACTCGATTTGCGGAGAGAGTTAAATTTACTTGGAAGTAACGCGAACAAAGTATGTACGTTAATTTAGACCAGTGTCTCCCAAACCATTTCGCTCGCCTATTTACGGCTGCGGCGTACAGATGAAACACGCATGATATTCCGTTTTACAGTCTTGCAATATGTATCGTTTAACGTCTACACGGTGTCTCAGAATTATTGGATTTTTTCTAAGTTATAAATTCTTTGATAAATATTACTTCAATCCTTATACGTGTTTCATCAATTTTATACAAAATTAAGCGTGTTAAAGAATCTTGAAGTTACTTTTCGAACATAATTTGTGAAACACTGACTTAAATATCGCGATACTTATCAATTCACGATTTAATAATACTGATTTAAATATCGCGATACTTATCAATTCACGATTTAATAATACTGATTTAAATATCGCGATACTTATCAAACGTTGAAATAAAAAATATACGTTTCTCGAGAAACTGTCAGAGATATGAAACAAAGTTACGGTTTGTACTTTCAATTAATTGCTTTGTGAGTAAATTCGTGTCTCGCTTTGTTGAGCGTAAGTGTTTACGGAATAATTTATCCCTGCGCATCAGTAGCGACTTATAACCGAAATTACCTGTCGCCTCGGTGAACAAACGACGATAGTAAACATCATGACGATCACCCGCGGTATTTTACGCTAAACCGAGTAGGTACTTAACCGAAATTATCGTGTTGCACTCGTAAGTTATCATTCCGAATAATATATTTTTATGTACATGTCCGATGAACAAGCGACGAAGGTGCAAAGCTCGATAGATTCTCGTTAAGTGGTTCACAGTAAAAAAAAAAACGATTCGCGCAAACACGATTGTTTTCAATCTTCAAACTTATGCTCGGATCTTGTAGAATAAAGCGCGGGTCGAATTAAATGATATAATAAGGATGTAAGAAGATGGCGAGATGTGATCGATAAAAACGCGCGGATTATCTGCGAATCTAGTCTCTTTAATCGTTAATAGATCTTATATTTGCAATCGTCACTATGTATCTCGTACTATATTTTTTACAACCGTCCGTTTCCACGCCAATCTATCGTGCAAAGAATGTGTCTTCAAATGGGCCTTTTGATATAATAATCGTCGCGAAGTACGGCCCGATAGAAGTAGAAATTTCATGCGTATGTTAACCACGTAAACTGTACCTAGGATAATAATATCTTTCGATAGATCTTCACGAGTCGCGTTTATGTTACACGCGCGTACTGCATGCTCTTTAGGTTACTAATTTCTCTAACTTACGCGACACTGTTGGATTTAGAAAAAAATTTGATAGCTGAGCTATTTGCGAAGTGCAAGAGATATTATTTATTTAAATAATCATTAACGATTAATTATGTTATTTATTTATGAATTGCAACGATGTTAGCCTAGAAGGTACGAGTTTTCGTGGCTATAACAAATGCATTTGTGCAATGTCCTGCCAATGCAATTGATATTTAAGTACTATACTATTATATGAAGTATTCAAAAAAATATATAATAGTTTGGCAGTATTTTCTATCAAAATATTTTTTAATGCACATTTTCTTGAATGTCATCTTTTTTGACGAAATATGAATTTTTGATGTTGGATTTCTCAAGTACTTTTCATAAACTTCACATTCTATTTATATGAAGACAGCTTAAATATGTATATTGAAACTCTTTCTAATTTTCAATATTAAATAGAATATTAAGATGCCGATATCAAGACTCTAGCAAAAATATATATATTTTTTTTTCGGAATTTGTGATAGAAAATGTTGACTTACTATTATATTGATTCCTTGAGTACACACCAGTAGATGTAATATTCAGCAAATATTTAACATTAATAATAATATATCGAATGAAAACGAGAATCATAAATATCTCATGCATTCGATCTTAAATAATTCATGTAACAATATAGTAATATATATATATATATATATATAAAATACAGTAATGTATTGCAGTTTCCTGCGAAACTTTCGCCGTCTGGATTAATTCAGAGTTTAAGCGTAAACAATTTCGGCGAAATTTTCACGCAGATTGATATCTCGCGTAAGCACCGACGACTAGTAGTTAAATTAAAAAACCGCAATGCTTAGTCCACTAGCATTAGCGTCGCTTTTATCGGATGCTAAATTTATGAGCGTAGTTAACGTTTTAGAAATGGGAGATAAGCGGTATTTTTCTATGGTAGCTTATATATACAGGCCTCAGACCAATTATATCATCCGTTAATAACAGATTCTCGAGGATCGTTGGGAGATAAAAATCTTTATACCAAAATGTCGATGCTACAATAATTTTTAAATGCGAAGTGTTTAATGTTGATCGATCAGATGGTCAAAAATTAGACTCGACATGTTGATATAAAGATTTTTGTTTCCAAATAATCTCAAGAAACTGCTATTAACGGACGATATGAGTCTGAGCACTTATACACCTGTAAGTGCGCATACACGATTAAGACTTAAAATGTCTTTTAAATGATAAATGCACGGGCGGGAATGTATTTCTGCGATACGCGATTCGACTTCGATTCGTACTTATGTATCTCCTCGCATCGCTCACGAGAACTTTCACATAGCATTCATCGTGATTGCTTAGAATAGTGTTCCAAAAAGGTAGCTGTAGAGATTGGTGTAACTTCGTTAACAAATTCGGCTAAGTTCAAAGGGGGTCGTCTCGGTTAAATTCGGACTGAGATTGCCAAATAACTTAGGCGGTACAATGAATTTCTACTGATAAATGTTATAAGGAGGTTATACATGTAAAAATAGATAGTATATACGTTTAAGTACTTCCAAAGAAAGAGCGTCTCTGTCGCGAGATTGCATTGTTATAACACACTTGGCGCAAGGTGCTGTTGCGTCTTCAGATAATTAGTAGAAAATGGTTAAGAAATGACAAAAGTATTAGCTTATCATTGAAAAATTAATGCGTCCATTGATTGTTATTACTTACTGCCCCACTTGATCTTAGTCCTCTTACGAATATGAGGAAAGTTTTACTTGCGTTAACTAACATTGAAGCGTTCACGTAAGTATACGTAAAACACGACTATTTTGTCGTACGGGCAGTTTTGATATTTCTATTACGAACGTGTTAAGTGCCATGCGTGTGTATTTGATGCGCATCGTTCGTTCTAGCGCATACATCTAGCATACGCGGAGGAGTAAATTAATATATTATGTAATACTAATATACATGTAATATACCATTCGTATTACGTAATAAAGATAATGCTTTGCGATATACGCACTCGTCTTTGTGAAATTTATTTAATTCTTATATGTAAAATCTCCTTTTTCTCTCTTCTATCTCTTTTATCTCTTTTCTAATCTCCTTATGCTATAAAATATGTTTTGCCGTCAGAAAAATAATCTGTATGTTTGCGAAAGAACTTATTCTTAAAAAAAAAGTTGTGATACGCGAGACACACATTGCGTATCGTGAATGTAAATCGCGAACTATATATATATATGTATCTTCACCCGGAAAGCTTCGCGGCAATCGAGGACGAATCGAGGCGGAAGAGAGACGCCTGTCGTCAGATCGAAAAAGGCGCCGAAGTTTCGCCGTCGTGAAAAACGGCATCTCGCGCTCAGCCAGAAACGATACTCACACGCGTGTCGGATGTACGCGCGCGCGTGAGAGCTTACGAGGATGACGTATGGGGTCCATAGGGTAATTTTTTTCCCGGAGCGTTTTAGCGCGATGCGCCTCTACTTTTTCCGGCGCCGGTAATCTATAGGCGCACTTAATACAGCCGCTCGTTTGAGTAACCTCGCCCTCTCCTTTCCGCGCTTTTGCTCGCCTCTTCCGCGGCTCCGCTCTCTCCATTTCTCTCTTTCTCCCGCCGGCATGCACTCGCTCAACATGTGACGTCGTCCCGCTCGTTCTTCACGCTATTCTCTGCCTCTCTACCCCCCCTCTCTCTCTCACTCTCTCTCTCTCTCTTTCTTTCTGCTTGTGCATGTCCGGGCTCCACTTAGCGAGACTGCATAATATATCACGCGTGGGCTGCTTTTACAGCGCACACCTACGACCGGCGTGCAGCTATGCTACGATACGACGTTTACGTACGCGCCACGCAGCGCGGCCACGTGTACCGGAATGGAGACGCTTTCGCCGGTGCGCGCGATGCATTTCGCCACGAGCGTAAATCGACTTCTTGCCCGACTGTTACGACTATGTATAATCGGCGAGAGATCATCTCTGAATTATTTTTCTGCTATAGTAACCACGCCCTAGACGCCCTAGACACTCTAGACTACATCTAGCGAAGGTACTTTAATTAACTAACTCGAATATCGCGCTGATCTCGGTTAATTTTTTCAAAACGAACTAAAATTAACTTTGAATAAAGTGTATGGAATTTCTCGGACTACAGAAAGTTTCCCTCCCAACTTTTCTTCGTACACAAGATGAATAAATAAATCTAAAGCGCACAGGATCTAAAGAAATTGATGATAAAAAAAATGAAAACTCTGTTTTTTACATTCGACGAATAATATTCAAATTTGTATATGCAACTGTCATAATTTTCAACCCAAACCCACCCTAATCACCGTGATTTCGGCAAAAATAACGACAAGGGACGGAGGCTAGTGTGGAAGAGCGTTCTCACGATTACAGGAAGCAACCCTTTGCCGCGCGAACGCGTCACGAGGACCGAGGGCATGCGTGTGGCGGGGGTGCTATGTCCATTACGCTTATTACAACCCCGACCGCCCGCCCCGCCGCCGCCACCGCCACCGTCCTTTAACCATCCGTTCCCTCGACCCGCCACCACCCACCCTTTTACGTGGATGAACATCGATCGACACACGACCTGGTCGTCGGCTGCGCCAGTCAACGCGCCAGGTAACTAAATTGCCCTCGTTCTCGACGTCCCGAATTTGGTTAGACCGAACGTCGAAACTTCGATAATGTCCGGGCACTTTCTGATGGCAACCACGTTCGATGATTGCATACACTCTCATGGAGTGAAGCGCGTTTAATTCTTTACCCTTTTTTTTCATGTTAACCCACCGTTGCTCGCGCATAGTGTAAACAACAAACTTCGAAATTCAATGAATTAACCAAGTTTTTTACCCGATGTTGCGGCGAAAGTCAAAAGGTAAAAGAACTCTTTGGGAATTCTAGATCGAAATGTCACTTTATTTTTTTACTTATCCTCGTATTTTCGAGCTGAAACACGTAACTTCTACAAAAAAAAAAAAAACAAAAAAAAACGTACATTTTGCGAATGGGATTTTAAAAAAGTCGATTCAGAAGCGGAGGAAGTGTAGAATATATCAATGAGAGACATGTAAGCGGAAATTTTTAGGTCAAAGATTAACTACATGTGCAAGGAAATCAGATACATTTGTATCAATGCTTCGTGGTTATATAATGTTTCTTCTGTGGGCGGAATGTTTGTATGCGTCATACGCGATAGCCCGAAATTCTGTCCGAAATGTATACCACAATATTGCTGTTTCTTTATGCTTGTTTAGTGAATTGGCCAGTGCCCACAATGTGCATTGTGGGTATACATTTCGGTTGTATTCGGTTATTGCGAATAACATGTGGCATGCGGAAATTTATAATGTTTCAATTGGCAAAATCATTTCATGTAACCAAATGTTGAAGTAAAACGCCATATTCAACTAGAATTAAAGCGGAATAATTTAGAAATAAATCGACTGACCTGATAAACTAGCATATAATTATTTGACAATAACTACTAACGAGGAATAGAAATTCTTTTAATTAATTAAGATTCGGATAGAAGAGGACACTGTCCGGGTAACAATTTAAAAATTATTCGATAATTCAAATAATTCTTTAGATTTAGTAATTTAAAATATTACTTAAATAACGTTCCGTATTTACATCACTGCGTTGTTCCCGTCGTTTCTCCCTAAAATCGGATCGGTTTTCCCGGCTGCGAAGAGCACCCTTTCGACTCCAAGGATCGACGAGTCGGAGACAGGCGGGAAGACTAGGAAGAAGAGAGCAGGCACGAAACCCGATCGTTGTTTACGCAGTGCGTCGTATCCCCCCGCGTAAGCAAAGCGCCCTTCCATCCATCGCTTCGAGCAAACACACCCCGCTGCCGCGGTACCCTAAAAGCGATATTTGGTTCCCGAAGGCTGCGTATTCTCCTCTTGGAGTTGCGTTCGTGGGTGAATTTGAGCGCGCGACGGAGACACACTCTCCTCGTTTCTCCGAATGAAGATTTATCGCGAAAACGCATAAAATGTATTACGACACATTAAGCTTCACATTAATAATTTACCCAACATTTCGCGCGAACTATCACACTTGCTCGTGTCGATCATTGTGTCAATCGCGCAATCATTGTTTCTTACAACTGAGAGATCACGCGTTAGGGAGAAGGTCAAAGAAATTAGGGAGTCGGGAGTTCTTATCCGTCTGCATCATTGAAGACTGTGTTCTATGGGTACTAAATAAAAAAAAAAAAAGAAGAAAAGAGAGAGAGGAAATAATTGTGAAAAGACGCGGAGATCCCGCTGACAGGGGCGCGGCTCCTGATTGCTGTCGCATTGTGCACCGCCTCGTCCCGCAACGAGGACGAGACAGCATTGTCGCGTGCGTCGTGCTTGAATACGTCGGCAGGTCGACTACGAATGACGTGGGAGGAACCGCGAGGAGAAAGACGCACGAGGAGGCACGGGAGGGAGCTCCGGCGCAGGGGGGCAAAAATTAAACCCCAGAGACAATGGGTCAAGCGTCCATAGAATCGGAAACACCAAACACGCCCTTGCCCTTCTGTCCTCTTTTTTTTTTCGGAGCCCCCAGTCGTCCTGCCGATTAAGCGGAGGTAAACGGAACGCCAGCGTTGTCGTGCGTGTACGACGATGTTTAATATCGATATTGCATTCCTGCTTCAAAAGTAGTACAAGATAAGAAAAAAAATATTAAATTTTAGAAAGAGCGATTGATGAAAATGTTGACAATTACATATTATAATAATAATCAGTATTCATTACAACGTCATACAAATAATAGTTTATGTTTGAGCAAGAATTTTAATTATGTTTCGCGTTGCAAAAATGAATGCATTTTTATTATCAATGCCGAGTAAAGCGCGAAATTCTATTTTTTATGTGTCACATTTGAAGCAGGCGTACAATTATCTCCTAATTGTTGTCAATACATTGAATTATCTTTTCGTCGTCATAAATCATATCTACAATTAGTCATATCTAGATATAGGCTCAGAGAAACATTATGTGTGATCGGAAAAGAATATAATTCAGATTTATCAGCTATGAAATCGCGATTGGTACAAATCCTAACAGCATGGTGCGAAAGTATTCAAATTTATCATCCGCAACGTGCGAAATGGCCTACATTTCAGACGTTATGACGTTAGCTACTTATATCTATCATCCGCGATGCTCAATGACACAGATGCACCGCGCCATTCACGGCTGCGTGTTATTTTATTTCATAACCTCTCGCGCCCCTTATGGTGTCTACTCGCCGATGTGGCGTATTAAACACGAATGGACGGAGAGACTGGCGCGTGGTGTAAATGGAACTGGGCTCGTAGGCAGGAACGGAGACAGGGAGAGGAGTGCGCAACGAAAGCTTCGCGTACGTTATTGCAACGGTGATGAGGAAAGACAGCCAGTAGGGACACACGCGTATACGCATCACACATATACGCACCGCGCGCGCACACGTATGCGCGACGCGCAATGTGGACACAGTCAAGGTCCAGTGATCGGCTGATTGATTGTCTCTACGGGGGTCGCTATTTAGGGGTATCATCGTGAACCGGATGACAGAGGCGCTCGGATGCCGCCGGGAGAGATAAACCAGATCTTTCGAAAATTTAACAAAGAAGTCAAAAATCCACGTTCTTATTTATTAAATTAACAACAATATGCGCTGCAAAAGGTAAAAAATATAAGAATGTTTTGGCATCTTTTTGACAAACTATTATGAAAGACTTATTAAAATTGTTGCTCAAAATAATCCGTAGATCTTTTTAGGAAAAAATTCAACATTTTAAATAAAATATTATAAAATGTACACGAGATATATAAGTACTTGTAATTATGGCAGCGTTCTGCGCAATTAATGCGCGCGAAAGGGACGTCATTTAGTCAACGACGACGGCGACGAAACCTCGGTCATCTAGTACTCAATTGATGTCCCCCACGTTTCCGATCACACGGAGGAAATCGCCCTCCTTTGGCTTTAAATCGGGTCACCGGATATGTACTCGAAGGACTAT